CCCCCAAAACCCCAAAACCCCAAAACCCCTATATATTAACTTTTGATTGATCGATTTTTGTAATAAGCAATCAAAATGGGTTACCAGCAATTATACAAGAAAGCACAAAATGAGATCTCCAGGCTGCGGGAATTAATAGAAATTAACAAGCAAGTTATGGAAAATTTACTGCTCCAAAACAAAGAATCAGAGGAGAAGTATAAAGACGAGATTATTATCCTTAACAAGATAATTTCAGATCACCACAAACTTCACACTGAAGAAGTCCAAGACTTGAAGGAGAGACTTGAACATATCAAGGATGCACTTGAGATGAAGGAATACCTCTTACAAGAAAAAGAGAACAAATGGAAAGAATTCGAAGATGTAGTTGTCACTTTTGCTTCTAACCATCCAGACCTTCAAGAAAAGTTATGTCAAATTGATTATTTATGAGACGAGATTACTTCTAAAAGGAAAATATCGAACGTTGTAAAAGAGAACTCTGAATTAAAAATTAAGATAACTAGCCTTCAAAGCCAACTCTCTGAGGTCGTATCTAATATGACTAGTGTTGATGATGACAATGATGCAAGATATAACTTCAATTATAACTCAGAGCCTAGTTCAGTCAAGAATTTAAGAATGAATAAGCTCAGATTTCCCCAACAGGATAAATCAGAGAGTCGATTCCAGTCCGGAAATATGACCCCACAAAATATGTTATTAGCCCCACCTGTGAAACCAGAATTTAGAAGAAGTAGATTTGGGTCAACCCAAATTTTGTACGAAGAGAGCAGCAACTCTACTGATGAAGGCTCTGGGATGGGTAAAGGATCTGGAATAATGCAGACCGAAAATTACAAAAATAATATCGAAGTAGTCCCATTAGAGCAAGAATCGAGACATAATTCTCAACAAGATATTCCACTCAAAGACATCGATGAATCGAGCATCAGTCTCGATGACTGTGCGATGCTAGAGAACTCCCATCCTTCTCAGATGTATTTCGATAGGGATGAAGTTCTAGATGAATGTTTGGAGGTCCTTTCCCAGAACGCTCCAAAAGAGGATTTCGATCATTTCGGTGATGCTATCTAACCATGCCAAATAACTAAATCCCGAATACTTATTATATTATATTTTATCATAAGCCTATTTAAGTCTAAACGTACCTGTATTCCTCAGAATTCAGAGTTTTCTCATAATTTAGGGTGGTAAAAATCCTCAAAATACCTTATTCCTCCTTGCGGAGTATTTCCTTGAACAAATCTGGAAAGCTGCCAAAATAGTTGCCACCGTACACTTTGCTAGTAATCTTATTTGCATATGATGGTTTATTTTCTTTGTTCTTCAATCTGGTTAATATTATGGGGTTTTGGGGTTTTGGGGTTTTGGGGTTTTGGGGTTTTGGGG